TGAATGATATGATAAAGAGAATAATTAAGACACCTAAAAATTTCCTAAGTGCTAACAGAGTTATTAAAAAAAGATACTTTAATCCCAAACTTTAGGGATGAACTATGCAATGTATATGGGTGGCATTAGCAGAAATAAGAACAGAGGCCCAAGAGAGGAGGGAAAAATGTCAGCAGGAGAAAGGAAAAGGAGCAACGGCTGAAAAAAAGGAGGACGAGAGAACAATGGCCCATTGTGCCAATAACTCAGTAGCCTATTCCCAATTTATCAGAGAGGTGTGTACTTTTTTGATCCATGGGCTCACTGTATCAGGTCAAACCATATTAGAAACCACCTATGCTACCATGATTCTATTTGACATGAAATAAATAAATATTTTAAAACCAGAATTAAAGAGAGAAATAGAACCTTACTCAAGCCTAGGAATAAGATCCTTGAAAACAGTTTTTTTCTTTTTTAAGAACCCCATCCTCAAGTGCACACTTGAGAGAGCTATTTAACTATTTAACTCAGCCGTACAAGATCTGGAGCCCTGGTGGCGCAGTGGTTAAGAGTTAGGCTGCTAACAAAAACGTCAGCAGTTCAAATCCACCAGCTACTCCTCGGAAACCTTATGGGGCTGTTCTACTGTGTCCTATAGGGCTGCTGTGAGTCGGAATCCACTCAACGGCAATGAGGTTTTTTTTTTGGGGGGGGGGGCGGGGTGGAGTACAAGATCTATGCTAAACATGAGCAATTAAGAGTGCTTTTTTAGTAAACTAGTGGGAAAATGATAACACTTTAGGAGCCAAACCAACAGAAAGTACTAACGGAGCTGTCCATTCATCACAGCTTCCCTTCCATCTCTGCCAAGCCCAAGAGTGTGAAACTGTCAATATGCAGTTAAAAATCTATATTGGCCCTTCGTTCCCTGCCTACATCGTCTACCAAACCTCTTATCTACCTATGGCAGGTTGCCACTCCCTGAATGTCCACTTTCATTTCAGGAAATACTAGGAAAGCAAGCAGCCAAAGAGGCTTAAAGAGTTCCATAAACTCATCCTTACAGAAGTCACTCACTATAAAAGCCCATTCAAACTCATGGTTTCAAATACCACCCAGATTAAAGCCTCCCAAAATTATTACATTTCCACATCTTATCTCTCTTATGCCCTTTCTCCAAGTCCATTACTGCTAAAGGGACAACCCCCATCCCCAAAAAAAGAGAGAGAGTAGCTGCTGAGGCTGCTTAGGTACAACCAAACACCTTATGGGATTTTGGTTCCTTGGTTTGGAAGTTTAGGGTCATGGTTTCATGGGACATCCCAGTTAAATGACCTAATAACATGTTGAATGTTTCTATTCTATCTCACTGTTCGCTGCGTAGCATGCTGGGGTCTTAAAAGCTTGCAAGTTGTTGTCCAAGGCACAAGTGGTTTCTATTTGCCTAGAACAACACAGGAAGAAAGAGTCAGAAATAGGAAGAGGATATGGAATGTGTTGCTAACTGCCTCCATGAACAACTGCCACCTCTGCCATGAGATCAGAAGAACTGGATGGTGCCCAGTTACCATTACTGAACATTTTGATCAAAGATTCTATAGAAGAATCCTGCTCAAAAGGGGGAAAATGAGAAACAGAATCTCAAAATCACATGGACTCCAGACCTTCTGGAGCCATGTAGCATGGATGAACTCCCAAAACTACTGCCCTGAGATAATCTTTAAACCCTAAACCAAAAATATCCCCTGAAGTTTTCTTAAAACCAAACAACAGTTTAGCTTAACTAGTAAAGAATGTCTGCCTTGAGCATTATGCTCTTTTAAGATCTATCTATACGGGATCAAAGTGACAACAGCAACTCGAAAGATTAGATACGAAACTTAGGGGGTAGTGAGTTTATGATAATGAGGGAGGAACAACTCAGAAAAGGAGGGTCACACAACTCAAAGAATGTAATCAATGACACGGAATTGTACATGCAGAAGCTTGTGTAGATTCTCAACAACAACAACAACAACAAAAAAAACGAATTACATTTATAAAAAAACTCACCTGAAATCCCTCTCTCAACTGAATTCAACTACTTAAGTAGAAAGGCAACAAAAATCATGACCTCTTTTTTCCTTATTACAGTTTCACACTTTCCTGCCACCCACATAATCAGCTACTAAGTCTTACATGTTATGTAGTATAAATAAGGTTCTTCTGTTTTTACTTCCAAATTTTGATCAATGACATTACCACTTACCCAAGTTCCAACCTTGAGTCATCTTTATAAGAAATGAAGATGAGCCAAAGTTAACCAGCTGGAGAGAAGATAAAGAAATTAGCATTGATTAAGTTCCAATTATGTACCTGGCACTGTATGGCCTAGGAGGCGGATTTTACTATCCCTGCTTTATAAACAGGGAAGAAGTTTTAAGTTTCTCAAATATACCCAATCCGTTTCCAGTCTAACAGTTCAGATCTTCATCACTTCACATTCACAGTATTGCCAGCCTCCTCTACTCCAAATCTGTTCTGAATAAAATATTGCCAGACCTATCTCAGAAAAAATTCCATTTATCACATCAATTCCCTGTTGAGGACAGTGAACGCCTCATGCTTCTCTATTTGTCCACTGAATGATCCATAACTCAATAAATATTTGTTGCCTAAAACCTTCCATGATTCCCCACCAGTCTTGGCTGTTTAGCAGTGAGCAATGGAAGTCAAAAGTAATAAATAGACTTTAAGAGAGAGATGTTGAATATTCAGAACGCATGTGAAAAGCCAAATACATCTCTAAAGCCTTCAAAAGTGGAATCTCTCTAGGACTTTTCACAATTCTGACTCCACACAACCCTGCCCTCTTATCTTAGGGAGTTACTATTGCTGTTGTGGCCATCAAGTCGATTAGGACTAATAGAAACCCTACTGAACACGGTAGAACTGCCTCATAGGGTTTCCAAGGCTATAATCTTTACAGAAGCAGACTGCCACATCTTTCTCCTGAGGAGCGGCTAGTGGGTTTGAACTTCAAATAAGAATGCCTGGGTTCTAACCCCAACTCCTCCAATTCTGGCTACATAACCTCTCCCTATGCTTCAGTTTCCTCTATAAAAGTTCAAGTTGGCCTCTGCTCAAGTTCTTCCACACTTTTTGACTACAAGCCATTCTCCAAAGGTCAGGTGAAATTTCTTTTCCCTTGCAAACTCCTATTGGATGAGCTCAGTCTATCCCTCCACTTACTTGATTTACAAAAGCTCTACAGCAAAAAGAGTCTGAATCATTCATTTTAACTTCTACCTGTAATCATACATTATCTTGCCTCATTTAATTATTTCACATGTGTATCTCCCACTCCGGATGACAGACTCATACTACTCATTGCTCAAGCAGTCATCACTGGCACAATATTAATATCAACAATTAGCACTGTATACTGAATACATAATATGTACCAGGCACTGTGCTAAGTAATCTATTTTTATTTCCTTCAATTTTCTTTAATCCTTTTAGACATCTTTATTCCCATTTCATAGATAAGGAGAGACCTTACCCAAAGCTACAAAACTAGTGAGGATGGGGGTGAAGGCTGAGGATGGGTGATTCAAACTCAGCTATGTCTACTGCCAAAGCACATACTTAATTATTACTTCATACTGTTTATCACTTTGGTCCTTTCACATCTAGGCGTTAAAATTTTCTCTCCTATATTTAAGCTGTTAACAATAACCAAAAGTGGTATTTCTTTGGTCACTTCCAGAATAAACCATTCCTAATAAGTGAGCCATACTCAAGCCTTCACATAAACTCATTAATCCTCAGAGCAACTCTATCACTGCCAATTGACAAATGAGGAAACAGGCACAGAGAAGTTAAATAACTTGCCCAGAGGCACACAGCTACTAAGCAGTGAATTCGGGGGTGAAGTGGTAACTGTGATACATTGCTTCATTCATTAATCTATTCCCTAATTTTTATTATGCACTGTTCTAGGGGCTGGGGCTACAAGACTGAACAAATCAGGAGACTTCCCTGCTCTCATGGAGCTTCCAATCTTATTTCTTTCCTAATGTTTTCATTCGAGGCACAATCCTAAACCCTCTTAAATACCCTAAGATTCCATACAAAATTTTATCTATCTACCTATCTCCTGAGTTAAATTTCCAACTTTGACCATTTTGACATTTAGTAGTAGTGCGAGTCTGGGCAAATCCCTCCCCCTAACTCTCACTGTATGACCTGCAAAAAGATTACTCATGAGATAATGTATTAAGTTGTGCACTTAGCACTGTATACGTTAAATAAATGAGTTTGCCTCTCCCCCTCCCATATAGTGACTTCATAATTTGCGTCCATCACGGAGCACATGTTAAAAGACTTACCCGGAGTTACATAAAGGACTAAAAAGAGACCCACTTTTTACTTTCCAGGACAATTTTCCTTCCAGAATACCATCACTAAGTCTCCAAGTTTAGGCCCTTAACTATTCTGATTCAGATAAATCAGGTTACAACTTGGAAATGATAGCAACTCACTTTAGGGACTGGCAGTGCCTATAAAAATGCTCCCGATGACCTCCTTTAAAAGGCACTTTTGTCTCAGGGAGTAACATAGCCTCACGACCCGGCTCCACGCCCCCGGCCGGGAGATGTGGCACCGGGTAGGAAAATTTCGAGCCTTCACACGAGGTTGTGCCCTGCAGACCTTTCTCCATTCGAAGTGCTCTGCAACTCTCCTGCCACCTGCCAATCCGACGACCACTTACCTCCTCGGGGCTGCAACTCCACTCCCTCCCACCCCGGGCGTCTCCCTAGGGTCCTAGGGCCTGTGTCCCCCGCAGCCCAGGGATCTGCCGCTCGGGCTTGGGGAGCTCGCCCTGGCCTGGGGGGCTGGTACAGGCCAAGCCGAAGGCCTCGGCCCGGGGGCTCTGGCGGTCTGACCTCCCTTGGGTCTTCTCCTCCGCCCTTCTGGTCAGCAGAGCTTTAAGCAGCTGAGCCCTGGCCAGGCCTGAAAGGGGCGAAGCCCCTTACCTATCTTCACGACCGCATCCGCCAAGCACCGGTCCCACTTCCTGCCGAGCTCTGAATCCGACATGTTCCCCCAACCGCAGCTCCAGCTCTCCTTACGGCCGGCCCCCGCGCTCCGACTGCAGGGAAGTCTCGCGAGAGCCGGCTTCTGGTCTTAGGCCCGGAAAGCCGGGGCCGGAGTGCCAAATATCGCGAGATGGTCTAGCTGGTTCCGTCGCTTCCGGTTCTTTCAGTGGGTCATCAAGGTGACTGACCGACAAGGCCCGAGGTGACCCTGACCTTGGAAGCGCGCCTAAGTAAGGTTAGCGAGGCTGACAGGTTTCCTACACGACATCCAGAGCCCTGTCGGGTAGACTGTTCCTCCACACTATCCCCCGACGTTAGCCCTGAAAATCTCACAGGGCAAGAGAAGGCACAGCGCTTAATTTATTCATTCGTTTATTTACTCGCCTTCACTTTTCCCGCTCAGTCGCTTGCTTACTGTCTCATTCACTCGTTTATTACAGTGGAACTCCCGCCTGCACCACTAACGGTCACCTTTGCCAAATCAAATGGAAGCTTCTTTGACCTCTATACAGAATTCGACACGATTGTTCCCGCCTGATCCTTCTCTATTGGACTCCTATGACACCCCTCTTTCCGAATTCTCCTCCCTTTCTGCCTCTTCTCTTTTGGTGTTTATCCAGGAGTGCTTTTTCTCTAATTTCCTAAAGAGTGATGGTTCGCGGGGTTCCATAAGTCCTCTTTTCACTCTCTTCCTGAGTAATTGTAGCCACTGACAACTTACATCGTTAGATCTGAGTCTGCCTCAAGCTTCCTATTCATATATTCAGCCTCCTTGCTGATGACTTTGATTTTAGTCTTCCCCACTTTCATCCTCCATCCTACCAACAAACAAACTTGCTTATGTTATTCCTCTTCTTAGAAGCTGTCAGTGGCTCCCATTCATCTACTGGACATATCTAACTTCAATGAGCTAATTTTAGGAAACCTACACTGACTGAATGAAAAGCCCTTCTCCATCTTCTCATTGTCCTGCGGGCTTACCTTCCCTGTAGGTTGCTCTACATTGTATTGAAACATCTCTTTAGATGTTTGTGTCTGCCAATAGACTAGAAGCTCCTTGAGGGGCTGAGCTGCCCCTTCTTCATCTTCACACTCCCAACTGAGAACACAGTGCCTTATTGAACTGAATTTAATTCACTTACTAAGTTAATTTATTCATGTATTCTTGGATACTTTTAACAGCAGAATTGTGCTGTTCTGGGCCTTGCTATGACAGAGTCCCTTTCTTCAGGAAGCCTTCTTTCATGACCATCCTTTCTAGCTCTCATCTAACTACTTCTTAGGCTGTATTTTAATTGTTGTGTGTGTCTTTTGGAGTTGACTGTGAGCTTCTGGAGAATGGGGTCTGTGCCATTTCTGTATTCCCAGTGCCTAGCAGAGAGCCTGGTATATATTGGATTCTTAACAAATGCTTTTTGAATGGATGTAAGAATGAGTGAATATATAAAATAATTAATTGAATTAATTAATTACAAAGAAAAAAGTCCCTGTTATAAGGGAAGTTTATAGTGTAACATTTGTGTTAAAAGAAAAAGGAAAATCCACTAAATGCCTATACCCATTGCCGTTGAGTCAATTCCAACTCATAGCGACCCTACAGGACAGAGTAGAACTGCCCCCATAGGGTTTCCAAGGAGCACCTTGTAGATTCAAACTGCCGACCACTTTGATTAGCATCTGTAGCTCTTAACCTCAGGGTGTATCACCAATAGCTCCTCACGTAATTTCATGTATCTTTACAGCAGGTTACAGCGTTTAGTTCACTGCTGTATCCCTGACCTTGGAGCATTATCTGACGCATAGTCTATGCTTGATAAATATTTATTGGTTGAGTGAATTAAATGAACGAGTTCTCTGGAGTTTTTGTAGATCTTAGAGAACAAAGATAAAGATGTAGGAAAAATAATTTAAAAAACAGCAGTACAGTCGTTATAAACTTAGTTACATTCGAAATGATTAAAAATAGGAACAACCCAGGTTCTCACTGCTTGAGAAGGCAGTTACAAATATGGAAAGAGGGAAAACTTGAAAGAACTCTGTGCTGTTGAATTGGAATTGAAGGTAACAGTATGAGCTTGTAGTATTTAGTATAATGGAGGTAGATACAAAAACAGATACATGTGTGTTTCCTGATTCTGTTGACTGGGAGGGCCTAAAAACAGACATACCAATAGCAAGAAGTATACCTAGATCTTGGCTTCTAAATTCCATTTTCTACCAAAAGGACCCAGGGCTCCTAGGAGAAATCACTGATTCTAGGGCTGGGGCCTAGAATCAAGAGTCTGGAATATCTTGTGTCACAAAGTAAGGAATTTCTCAAAGAATGATGGGGACATGTCAAAATTATTTAATAACTATAAAGTACCTAAAATAGTACTTGATTCCTAATTGAAATTCTTTGTGTAAGTTATTACTATTTTTAGGACTTCTCATAATTGTATGAAACAAGTTGCATAAAGAAAGAAGCTTGCACTTCAAATGGATAAAGACAGATTCTTGTAATAAAACAGTTTCACAGTAAAAGAGTATCTTTTTACATTGGATGGGATAACTGTCACTTATGTAGAATAGATCTTTGCCTCCACTGGTTAGTCAACTAAACATAAGCTCATTGTTGCGTTTACTAAATTCTAAATTTAGCTTCATTAACAACACAGATTAGAATCTTTTATAGCATAGCACCTGTATAAATAAAGTTCTTTTATATTCCAGTAATTTTTTTTTCGTAGTTTGCCTCCAATTAAAAGCTACTTCCTTTCTTAAAGGGAGACTCACATTTTTTTGTTTTATATCTTTTTTCCCCAGTAGGAGTCTTATATCATTTTGTCCCTTCAATAATGTGTCCAGAGTCACACAGCTACTAAGCGGCTGCTTTGTTTGTTTCCAAAGCCCAGGTGCACTCCCCCTTTTTACGTGTGTGTGGGATTGCCATGAGTGGGAATCGACTTGATGGGTAACTAACAACAACAGCCTGTGAAATATAACAAGCTTACAGAAAATTGCTTAACACACAAATACAGCTTAACAAATTGTAAATGAACTTTACTAGTACCTCAGAACCTCCCCCCACCGGCGCCGTGTGTTCCTTGCCAGATCATTTTCCCTTTCTCCCTGTTAGTGTAACCACTTTATGATATTCATTTCCATGCATTTCTTTAAGTGTTACTACCTGATTATGCTTCCTTCATCTTGCCTACCTTTGGACTTTATAGAATCATACAGTCTGTATATTTTGTGGTTTCTTTTGTTCAATATTACTGTATGCTTTTAGAGTCATCCATGTTATTGTGTAACTATAGTTCACTCCATTTTGTTGCTATATAGTATCCCATTGCATTACATCCATCATTTGTTTCCTTATTCTATTGTCCATGAATATTTGGGTTGTTTTCAGTTTGGCTATTGTCAGCAAGGCTTGTCATTCTTATGCATGCATCCCGATGCACATAAGCATATATTTTTATAGCATATATAGCTAAGGAGGACAATAGGGTATGTGTATCTTCAGCTTTAGTAGATACTGCCAAACTTGATTTCAAAGTGATTGTACCAGTTTACACCCCCACCAGCAGTGCCAGTCCTGTTACTCCACCTCCTCACCAACACTTGCTTTCTCATCACACTTCAGAAAAGTTTGCCAGTCTGGTAGGTGTGTAGTGTTACCTCACTGAAGTAGCACTTGCTCTTTTTTGTCATTAAGTTATCCCATCATGTACTCTGAATATATAATGTAGCAGGAAAAAGAGCTCAAAATGGAATGAAAGAGGAAAAGAGATGACACTTGGCTAACTTAATGAGGAACTGTTTGAAGCGGGGAATGGCCTGGATTGGAAATCATGAGAGCTGAATTCCAGTCTCAACTCTGCCACTAACTGGTGGTGATGCACATGTGGCAGCTCCTGGCAGATGGGCTTCTTATCAGCTCTCTCTCATATTCTGCTTCTTGCTTCCTCCCCTTATACCTTTGGGCCTAAGAGTAGTAATGGCTCCCACTGTTACTAACTCCAGGGTACTACACCATTCCTGATTGCTTTGTATACAGTCCCTTTATTAAACTCTCCTCCACGTCCCAGTTTGAGTGTGCCACCTATTTCCTATCAGGCCCCTGACTGCTAAATCCATGCCAGGCTAGGTCCTTGCCCCACCCCTATTCCCTATCTAGCTACATCTAACCCTTTGTTGCCTCCATAGTTCATATCACAATTTGCAATTAGCTTATTTGTTCACATTCTTTTCCCCTTCTCTCCCCATTTCTCCTACTAGACTGTAAGCTCCATGAAGGCAGGGACCTCATCTGCCTTTTTATCATTATATTCTGAGTGCCTCGCACAGTGTCTGGTATATTGTAGACATTTAATAAATGTTTCTTGAATGAATGAATGAGGAACAGGAATGATGTCTTTTTTTCATTTTTACATCCTAGCACTAGTCATGCCAGGTACAGCTGTGTTCAATTGATGTCCTATGTGCCTACATAGCCCTACCTTCAAGTGTGCCCCAGTGTGTCCCAGAGTATCCCAGTGTGGCACACAAGCTTAAGAGTGAGAACCAGAGTAGGTTCAAGTGTGGCTTTGTGGTCGGTATGTGTTTGCATTGACCTTAGAGTTTGAGTGTGAGAAAGTGCTTGGAAATGGGCGTTGGAAGGTGCATTTTCTGCATTTACCTACATTTGAAAGTGCAGTCAAGTTGCGTGTGCATGTATTTGTGTGAAAGCATGCGTTTGAGACAAGTATCACTGAATTAATTTGTATTTAAGTATGCAAGCTTGAGAATGGATGCAAGTTTAAACATCATAGCTTTAATATTAGTATTTTAAAGTCTAACCAAAATCATACATTTGTCCACAGTAGAGCTCCACAGACTAACTTAATATCAAGTTAGTTTTGAATTTTTTACCTGGATTATATGAACTTGGCCATTATGGGGGAACTGGCTGTCACTTGCCTGTTGTGTTTGGTTAATGAAAAATTAGGAAATGCATAAACGATTTCTTAATCAGTGTAATTGGTATGACAAACAATTTCTAAACATAGGATCCAAGGTGTTCTTGGCAGAAAATTGGTTGGGCACTACCTAACTTGCAGACTGTTCTTAACTTGTCTCCTGTTTCATGGCCAGAAGTAGATTTCTCAGCCCTGAAGTGGCGCGTAGGTCTGTCTGCTTCGAAAGTCACACCTTTACTTGGGAGGTTGATGGAAGGG